AGGAAGGATGCGGTTGGACGTGGGTCAGGTTCACGGAAACTTCTCCCGAAGTAGTAAGGGTCATATGCTGTCATCGAGAGACGTGGTCCCATTTACACCATCAAAAGAGGAAATAAACAGAAACGGGTAGACATCAGCCAACCATAGAAATAGTTACAGTGGTATAAAGAAGCCTGGACCATGGTACAACAAGAAGGGGTGGAACCAAGAAGGTCAGAACGGCTCCGTTCGAAACTATATGATTAAAGGACGAGTGCTACAGATAAGATATGTCATTAGTACATAAAGAGACGTTCGTTGGCACCAAAACACCAGGTAGCAGCGAGATACATTTTATGTCAGAGGAGGCAAATGATACAGCGTTGTAGAGATACATGGGAGACCTGAAAGGAACACAGAAACACAATATGAAGTCCCGAAGTGCCCCAATACGAAGATATGTGCAAATGGTGCGTTGAAGATAAGTTATACATAATTTAGCTATACAGAGATACCAATATCCTAATGAACATTCCTTAATCAAGTTTTTCGTCTTCAACCGTTGCATCACTGACTTCTTATCACAGCGCTGTGTCACTTATTGGCTGAGATACCCCTAAAACCACCCGGACTGTGATGTAATTAGGCAGAGAAATAAAGTTTATTAGAAAGAAATATATGAAGACAATGAAGCTAACACCCATTAGCACCTTCAGACAAACAACTGTGATCTGCATTCTCAATATTTTTCAGTACAAACAAACAACTCCTTTTCTGAAGGCGTTATGTCCGAGGTCCAGTCGGATTCGCAAAGTTTCCTTCCTTGATATAATTTAAGTGCAAGAGATTTATGCAGGATTTTTTGATAGAAAAGACAATATAAGCCAGTTATCAGATCACCTACAAATGAACTAATAAACGGAAGTGTTCGAAGTAAATATAATACTCATGTTATTTTGGAGTTTTGTATGTAGTAAGATATGAGAATATTACAGTATTCGTACAGTCTCTCAAGCTAATTATACTTATTTGACTTGGGACAGAAATCAGTTAGTAGAATGTTACGCAGCATTTCAAATGAAACGTGTACCTGACTGCGTAACTTTAGTTTGACCAGCTGATGCAAATAGTGAGGGTCACTATTCAATGTCAAATAATGAAGCTGTAGGATAATAATTTTGTGGAAATGTTTAGTGCTACAACACTAATTGTATTCTCAGCACTATGATTAGATGAGAAATTCAAATACAGAAGTATAATACAAATTCTGTCATAGGGTTGTTCAACTGCGTTACAAATACCATAGGTAACATGCGTGGTGGCCTATTGGATATGCACATGAAGATGTCATAAATATGCATCTAGGTAAAATGTCACGATGAAAATCTTGCAAATAAATATTCACTACTTTGAGTGAAAAAAATTTGAAATCGCTGTGGCACACAGTGGTCCAAGATAAAAAAAAGTCAACCATCATCTGAAGGCATGTTGAGCATCGTAAGGTACTGGGCACATATTCCATTCAAGTTCATTTACACACCTGTAAAAGTCGTAGCACACAAATGTTGAAATATTAGTTTAAACTGGTGTCACTGAACTTGAGCCACATTACGTATGGTGCAGAATACATACGTTTTCCGAAACTAATACTTCTTCGACGTGGCTTTGTTTATATGAGAATAGAACAGTACCGCCTGGTTACCATCATTCCTATAGCTAACAGATGTGGCAAATATTTCCATTTATCAAATCAAATAATTACCTAACAACGTAATAAATGAACTGTTGGATGGAAATACACCACAGACTTGCATAACATAAGGTCCTATGGAGACTTAAGTCAATGTAAAAACTGGCGTGGAATTATGCTTCTGTCCATTCCAAGCAAGATACTAAGTCGCATCATCCTGGAGAGAATCAAACAAGCCCTAGATGAAAAACTTCGTCCGGAACAGGCTGGATTCAGGAGAAACAAATCATGTATTGATCAAATCGCCACTCTACGGATCATCATTGAACAAAGCTTGGAATGGCAGTCACCTCTCTATCTCAACTTCATCGACTTTGAAAAGGCCTTCGACAGCGTCGATCGAGAGGTCATTTGGAAACTACTTCGCTACTACGGGGTCCCATCGACAATTATACACCTCATCCAACAGTTATACGACAATGCTGCATGCCAAGTAATCCACAACGGGAAACTTACGGAAGCCTTCGAAGTGAGGACGGGAGTGAGGCAAGGCTGTCTATTATCGCCAATGATCTTCCTGATTGCAATTGATTGGATAATGCGACAGACAACGGCAACCAACGAGGGAACAGGCATAAAATGGACTGACACAAAAGACTTGGAGGATCTGGATTTCGCCGATGATATATGTCTGATTTCCCATAAACTGGAAGATATGCAAGTGAAAAGTAACAAGTTGGCAGAAGAAGCATCAAAGATAGGACTTCACGTGAACATAGATAAAACAGAGATAATGAAGATTCCTAGCCAAAATCAACAACACCAACAGACCACAATAAGCATAAATGGGAAGAACCTGAAAGAAACAACCTCCTTCACCTACCTGGGAAGCATCGTCTCAACTACAGGCGGAACTGACGAGGACATCAAAGCCAGAATCGGAAAAGCAAGACAAGCTTTCATTACTCTCAAATCTGTGTGGAGGTCAACAGCACTCAGCATCAAAAATAAGATCCGGATTTTCAACTCCAATGTGAAGTCAGTGCTACTATACGGATCAGAGACTTGGCGAGTCATAAAGAGCATCTCAAACAAACTTCAAACCTTCATTAACAACTGTCTCCGCTCAATACTCAAGATCAGATGGCCAGAAAAGATCAGCAACAGGGATCTCTGGGAGCGAACCAATCAGGAACCGATTGTGAAACAAATAGGCAGAAAGAAATGGAGATGGATTGGCCATACGCTGAGGAAACCATCAAGTGACATCACTAGACAAGCCCTCGAGTGGAACCCGAAAGGGAGGCGGCGAGTTGGTCGTCCAAGGGTGACTTGGAGGAGGTCATGCGAGGAAGAGATGAAAGCATGTGGACAGACCTGGAGCAGGGTGAAAAAGTTGTCAGAAAACCGAAGTCAATGGAGGTGCGCAGCTGAAGCCCTATGTTCCTCTAGGAACTAAAGGATACAATAATAATAATAATATATTTATGTGTGTGTGTATGTTGGTCTCTCTTTCTGTTTACTCGGTTAGTCTGTGACCACTTCACTTGTATGGACTTGTCTCCTTTAATAATGTGTATTCTCCTTATATTATATTATATATAATATGAGTGTTTGTTGACAGTCCGTTGCTTGGTGACATATATCCATATATGTTTGTTGGCATGTCTGCTATATTCGCTATGTATAATTGGATCGACACTCCATTATAATTAGCCATTCATGTTAAGACTGTCTAATGATTTTTCCCACGCTTGTCTGAATTATTTATATATATTCGCATTCACAATTTGTGTGAACTACTTTACAACTACTTGACTTGCTTACCACTTTGGTGTGAGACCATTTTATTTTCGTCTCCTTGTGTTTGGACAATAGAAGTATCATCGCAAACCTAGTGGTCTTCTGATTTCCGCCTTCTCGCGTCAGGACTATTAGTTTCTCGACCAGTCCATAACAATAATTCAGCGACGAGTACATAACACTGGGCTTCACTTTGAGATGTCACCCTGCAAGAATTGTTTGTTTGTGTATCGTTTATTACTTTAACGTGCTGATTTGTAAAATATATCACATCAGAGGCCTCGTGCTAGATTAGGAATTGAACCTGTAGAAAAATTACTTTCACATCAATCTTTGATATCCATGAGTGTATAAACTGAGACAAGGATTGAGTCTATAACTTCCTGAGACGGTGTTGACGGTTTGCCAATATGTATATAGTTCACCAATAGGAATATTGGCTAAGCTAAATAGGCTGAACACGGGTTCTCATATTGTTTTTACAGCTTATTTTCCGGTAAACTGTTTTGGGGAAACGAAAAGAGAGTTATTTTTTCAGCACCTACTCTATTCCATTCTGACGTCCGTCAAGTTAGATTCAACGTTACGGTTAATATTATAAGATTAGGTAAGGGTTCAGGATTCAGTACGATGTTTACAGTCCAATATTTTAAAGCATTTTATAGATCCCTACTCTTGTTTGACTCATTTTTATTTATTTTATAGTCGTAGATATTTTTTAAAATAAATTATTATTCGGCTATTCCGATTGATTTGTCAAGGTCACAGAAAAAATCGTTCGTCTTGGTTTCCTATCGTTACTGTTATCCAGTGTTTGTTATCTGTGTTTCTAAGTTATACCTTCTGTGTATACGCAGATAAATATAACCGGCAAATTAACCATTAAAACACTTGGAAGAAGATCTCTAAGTGATGGATGGATACACCCGACTGTTTCAACATGTGAATTACAACATAAAAATGATAAAGTCTCCCTCACTATTTTTGTGTAGAGAAGTATCACAGATACCAAAGCTAATGACGTGTTTCTCTACCTATTGTTTGTTATCAAGAGTGAACGCTAATGAAGTCAGAGAAAAACACCAAACAGTTATTCGTCATCTAAGGTTGAATTGATGTAAAATATTTCCTCAAAAAAGTGAAATTAAGGTGGAAAAATGAAAAAGGAGAAATACAAACATTGAGATTCCACAACCATATATATATATATACATATATATATATATATATATATATATATATATATATATATATATATATATATGGAGAGAAAGAGAGAGGAAGAGAGAGAATAATACCTTTTACAAGTTTCATATCACAGATAGGAATTATTATACAAAATAAGTTATAATTATAAAAAACAGTATTCCCCTAAAACAAAATTTGACATTCACCTCTGATTAAGGTGCAGCATTTACGAAGAGATGCACAAGCATGATGGTAGAATACAATAGTAATACTGAGAATATGTTAAGCAAAGTATAAAACCCAAATAAGGATATTGATACAGATATTCACAGGATAGAGGCTACTTTACTGATACAATTAGATCATTTTTAATACTGTTATTTTTCGATGGTACAGTTTTTTTCTGGCGTGAATAAATTCGTAAAAATAAACCAAAGAAAACCACGAATATGCCTACTATAGCCAATGGATGTAATGCATGAGAAAATATAATGCATGAAAGTATCATGGAGAAACCAAGTCTCAGTGTCATGATTAGGACAAATGAAGCTGGACCGAATTGTGATATGGTAAGAAAGATAAACAGCTGACCAAATGCTGAACACAAAGATGACAATAAAACATCAAAGTTAAATTCAAGATGTCTAAATCCAAATTGTACAGAATAAATAAGATCACCATTTCCAACTAATGATAACAGGGTGAGTAGCACTGACCAAATGTTTGTACCAGCCATGACCTGAAAATAATCAATAACAGAGCGAGCGAATGAAATTAATTAAAATTCAAGCGAAATAAAGACAAGCGAGATCATAGAAAATAATAAGTAATACGTGAAGATCAATGGTGCATCACAAATAAGTATTAAATTTTAGTTTGCAGCAATTAAATTGGTTCCATAGATTTAACCACGAGTTGGCATCATCTACAGATCCAGTGGAAAACCAAGGGGTACTGGAAACTTGTTTTAACCTAGTTTGGGACCCTTCATTAGTGATGAACCCAGCGTCTTTCGAACCCCAATAATTAATGTGATGCTCACTAGCGGCTGGCTGGCTGTATACGCGAAGTTACCTGGAGTCCAAGTGAGGAGTCTAAACCGGAGAGATCCACTAAGTTAGGTAGGCGAACAGTCCTTCGCTTATGACATTGGATCGGGTCCCAGCGGCTTTGTAACCGGAAGGTCCTGAGGTTCGAACCCCGGTGGATAGGTCTGCTGAAGGGTCCTAAACTAAGATGAAACACCTGTCTAGTAATTCCTAGTTTTCCAATGGTCTTCTAATTCCATACATTTATTCCCCTTAATGAATTTGAACAATGCAAGAACTACAGTTTTAGCAGAATAAAATGGTACCATCTTTTATTTCGTTGCCTTCTCGTCAGCTGCTTACATGGCAAAGACATTATTAAATATATCTACAACAACAATTTTAACATACTTGCACAGAGTTCAGTTTAAACAAAAATCAATCGATCAATATACGCATACACTAAAAATATATACATATATAAATATGCAATATTAACCACTATTCCGAACAATAATAATCAAACACAATGGAAACTTTTAGCATTTCACATTCGGAGGAAAGAGAGGTGAAATTATCCAGTTACCAGGGCAAAGAAAGGCTGATAACCGCTTCTTTCTGGACGCATAAATCAGGTTTCACGCGCTCCCTATTCACAATGATTCCAGTCAATGAAACCATTGAAATCATCTGTCAGCAGTCCGATCTTCTCCCACTCCCAGAATCTGAATTCAAACGCCTACTGCTTATGTGCACCATGGATGTGCAATTCCTATTTGACAACACGTTTTACCGCCAAATAGATGGTGTAGCTATGGGCAGTCCACTTAGCCCTGTTTTAGCAGATATATTCATGTCTAACCTTGAAAGAACAAAGCTGAAGCATGCAATCGACGAAACATCTTCCTACTGTCGTTATGTTGATGACACATTTATAGTGTGCAAAAATAAAAGTCATGCTTCACACTTACTAAGATTATTCAATGGTGCACACGCCAATATTGACTTCACTATGGAACACGAAAGTGACGGAAAGTTTCACTTCCTCGACATAGCCATGGAACGCCTAGAAGACGGTAGTCTTCAAAAGTCAATTTATCGAAAGCCCACATGGAAAGGACAATACTTGCATTTTAATAGCTTTTGTCCACATAGCTTTAAACGTGGTCTAGTCAAAACTTTGTACTATAGAGCGAGGAGAATATGCTCTACAGAGAAACTAGAGGAGGAGTTTGAGTTCCTTGAAAATATATTGAAGAGAAATGGGTATCCTCAAAGGTTCATCAACAAGTATGGAAGATCTGAAGTCACAAAAGTAAAACAAATCACAGTGGAAAAAAAGCCAGTCTACCTTCAGCTTGATTATAAAGGTGAAAATATTGCAGCGATGATCAACAGAAGGCTGAGTACATCACTAGCCATAGCGTATCCTGCAGCTAAGCTCGTTCCCGTCTATCGAACAACTTGCTCTTTGGTGCAATCAAAAATCGATAGATATCCTTCTCATGTTACCTCCAACTGTGTATACAAATTTACATGTATCTGCGGGAGCAGTTACATTGGAAGGACAGAAAGAAGGGCATATCTACGATTTTCTGAACATGTACCAAAAAGCTTACGTCTAAAGGGAACAAATGCTTTAAACAGTGCCATCACCAGGCATCTTCTCGACACGGGTCATGAGGTGGACGTTGAAAAGTCGTTCAAAATTATCAATAAGCAAAATAGCTCAATTCTCCTTAAGTTTGCTGAAGCCATTTCCATCAAGCGCCTGAAACCTGATTTATGCGTCCAGAAAGAAGCGGTTATCAGCCTTTCTTTGCCCTGGTAACTGGATAATTTCACCTCTCTTTCCTCCGAATGTGAAATGCTAAAAGTTTCCATTGTGTTTGATTATTATTGTTCGGAATAGTGGTTAATATTGCATATTTATATATGTATATATTTTTAGTGTATGCGTATATTGATCGATTGATTTTTGTTTAAACTGAACTCTGTGCAAGTATGTTAAAATTGTTGTTGTAGATATATTTAATAATGTCTTTGCCATGTAAGCAGCTGACGAGAAGGCAACGAAATAAAAGATGGTACCATTTTATTCTGCTAAAACTGTAGTTCTTGCATTGGTCTTCTAATTGCCAGCACGTGATTAAACCTATTACATATGACATTACATAAGTAGGTTGTTAGATGAGGATAAAAATCCCACTTTGCATTAAGTCCATAAAGCATGCGATGTACATGTCTAGCGAATGTCTGTCACATATAATGTTAGCTAGAATATAATTAAGTTAGGCACAGAAATGAAACCAATTTGAATTGTGGAGAATAAGCTTCTTCATTTGGGGATACCAGATAATGGAGACTGAAGGCAATGGAATATGGGTTTTATAATTTAGGGCGCTCAAAAATACCGTTAACCTCATATTCTCGCGTATGTGATTATACCACTACATTCCGTTATTATCTCTCTAGAGTTTTCAAGTCTCACAGATTTATGTTACTTCTGACAGCTGTGGTCATTTCATTTTCTTTTTTCACTTTACCCTCTGTTTGATACTCAGACTAGAGATGAGGCTGATTCAACTTTCACATAGTAATGACAACTTTATTTTCGGAGATGTACTTATACAGACTGTTGAGAAAAATTAACCTTTGGCTTTCAATGCTTAGATAAGCAGGAGGAAATGGAGGTGGATTGGCCATACTCTGAGGAAACCATCAAGTGACATCACTAGACAAGCCCTAGAGTGGAACCCCAAAAGGGAAGCGGCGAGTTGGTCGTCCAAGGATGACTTGGAGGATGTCATGTGAAAAGGAGATGAAAGCATGTAGGTAGACTTGGAGCCAGGTGAAAACTCTAGCAGAGAACCGAACACAACGGAGACGCGCCGCTGAAGCCCTATGTTCCTCTAGGAATTAAAGGAAATAATAATAATTTCAATGCTTATCATACTGTCATCTGTTAACAGCAATCTGTAGGATAGAAAGTAATCAATAATAATGATTTTATCTAAGCCTTTTTTGACAGACACTATACGTATACAAAGGAATATACGCCTGTCCCGCTAACTTTCCTTAAAATAGATTTCTGTTAGTGTTACATTAAGTGTATGGGCAACTAGTTACGAACTTCATGAATAGTCGAAATAGCTGTAAATTCATGTGAATGATTTTATTATAGACAGTACTGCTTTTTCTGTCAATTGATTAGACCGAAACGTTTGGCCTAGGTTGAAATGTCAGCTTCTAGTACGGATGCTTCGACTATGTGTTGAGGATTGATATGATGTTATTTTTTGTAGGTGGCAAATAGCAATGAAACCCAGGATATGCATTTTGACTACCTAATGAGTCCTGTATAGGACGAAGTGAGCATCCTGGACTATACTTCTGCTAATCATCATTCATCAAAAATTAGCACTGGTATTGATAGTGATTATTTTATTATATATTTTGCTCTTTTGCTTCAGTTTCGAAGTTTCAGTAGTGGTGGTTTAGTTTGTACGGCATGGGATTGCTGGTCCCACATTTGACCCCCCCCTCTTTTGCCGGATTTACCATCCAGCTATGCGAGATTTAGGAGTGCGTCAGCAAGAGATTGAACCCCAGACTACATGCGCGATTGGTAAGCATGCTACTGCTGCACTAAACAAACTCTCGGTATCGGTAAGAAGATTGATTTCAGTCGAGCACAGAGAGGTACTACGTGAGATTCTAAAGAACAAAGACTTGGTTGTGACACGCCCCAACAAAGATTCTGTCATTGTCCTGATGGATCGTGAAGACTACATCGATAAAATGTTATCAGTCTTGTCAGATGAAAACAAATTTTCAAAAGAAAGTAGCCAGAAAGACCAAACGGAACAAATTGAAAGCAAGCTAACACAAATGCTGAAGAATATGAAGAACGAGTCGATTATTAGCTCTTAATTATTTGAGCAAATACGACCCTCCGGTTCCGTGATACTCCGCTTATATGGTCCGCCGAAAGTGCACAAAGAGAACGTGCCACTACGTCCAATCTTGGACATGACAAATTCCCCATACCATGCTACTGCCAAATGGCTCACAGAAATCCTCCTACCTATCAGAAATAACCTCTGCAAGCATATTGGTAATCAGTTATTATTAATTCACAAACACAAATATGCAAAATTTTCATATTATTTTGTTCATAAAAATTAAGTCGATTGAATTTACTACAACAACAAAATAAAATTTATAAAGCAAATATTGATTCCTCACTACTATGCAGGATAAATCTCCTTTATACGGGTAATAACTGTTTTCGATCAAACAATACGCTAACATAAGTAAATGGCATTTCGTAATCTAAAATATTAGACGAGTTTATTGATTGACTAACTAGAAAGTGAAAGTAGGTAGACTAGTTTAAAACATGAAAAAAACCTACGCAAGATATATATATATATATATATACGTATGAAGAAAAGCGACAGCGTATTGTTCGAGCATTTTACCAAAAACTGCTCAAATATCCTACAAACTTAGTTAAAAGTCCTGATATTTTGATACTACAGAGGAAAATTTCTATAACTATGACTCTTACATAATGATAATAATATATGAACATAAGTGCTTTGGTGGCACAGCGGTTAGGGCGCTCGCCAACCATGCATATGGTCCGGGGTTCGATCCCCGACCGACGCACTCCTCTACCTCTCTAAGCCAGTAATAATAAAAGCTG